GCGAGGCTGTAAAAAAAATAGAATATACGACTTCCTTTGAAGGGATGCTCTTGAAACAAGGTCAGAAACGGTTGGGGGCTTTGAAAAATTCAATAATAGGGGTTTAGGGCATAGTTAGTACAGTTATATATGGACTATAAGGGAAGACTATGAGTACTTATATATATTATATTATATTATATATATATATATGGACCATAAGGAAAGAGTAACAATACATCTTGCGACCTCTACAATCGCCAGCTGCAACACTTTTACTTCCGCGCTTCTTCAAGCCCGTCATCTCAGCAAACTCACACTAAGCACCCTATCAACTCTGACCATGATGTTGAAACAATCGCTATGCGACTGCTTTTGGGCTTCAGAATTTAGGGTCAGCCTCTATACTATGTAGTATGTTGGCGTGGCTGTGCTGATGCTTCGTTGAGTAGTTGTACCGCCAGCGCATTGCACCACAGTGCATCTGCTCCTCTTTACGACAACGATCAGTTTCGAGTGAACTTTCTATTCTCGTCGCTGCATGCGAACCCCGATCCGGCACAGACCCGAATCCTCTCAGCCCCCTGGTTTTGAACGAGGTCTCTCTGAAGTACCTCCAAGCTGCCCGCCACATCGATGACTCGTGCCCTAAGCCCCCTTTTTGACTCTAAACCCCCTTTTTGAACCCAGACTCTGCCAATCAGCACCCTAATCCCCCTTAAGCCCCAAACCCCGAGTGGCATGGACAAGCTGCAGCTTCACGAGCCGAATGTCCGCGGGAACCTTGTCTCCGGCCTGGTGAAAGCTCTCCCTTAAAGCAGACACAGACGTTACCTGGACCCTAAAGAACCTACCTTTTTTAGGGCTCCTTATTATGATTTCTTTATTATATGTCCTTAAAAAAGGTAGGTTATTTGGGGTTAAGGTAGTGTTTAGGGCTTCAGGGGTTGTAGGGGTTTAGGGAGCATCGGACCCTGGAGTCTGGCGCAGTTTACAGGGGCTCCTTTTGGCCCTGGGGATTCGGTTTGACAAGGAAGGATAAAGGCTTCTTTCTATACTATGGCCCAGGCAGCCCTTAAACGCTACAGCTTCTGAACCCCAACCCGAGCCATGTCTGACCTAAACGTGAAACTCCAAGCTAGAAGCCACACCTTCAAGAAAGTGATGTAGGGGCTCGATAGTTAGAATAGGATTCATTTTTTTTTTTTGGGGGGGGGGNNGGGGGGGGGGGGGGGGCTTTATAAGGGGTTCTATGAGATAGAGGCTTTGACACCTGGAATGGGCTTTGGTGTTCGTTATGCCATTTATGTACAGACGACAAGGGCATACCACGACTCAAGATTCAGGCCCCGGTACTAGGTTGCTTTATGTTTGATCTTCTTCGTCTGGTTCTTCTGGAACACCAAATCCTGCACATTCATTACGTAAACGATAAGCCCAGACTGCTACTGTAACGGTTTAGTTTAATCGAACATTTCAAGCCTATAAACGCGTGAAGAAACCCCCGCAAAACCTGATTCTGCTCTGTATCTATACCTACAAACATACACTATCTTAGACCCTTGCCCCGTATGAACCCCCATAAAGACACATAAAGCCCGTCATCAAATCCTGTTCGACTTTGTGCAAGGCCCCTACATCCAAGCCCTTGTCAAAACGCACTTCTAAGTCAATCTAGCGCCGGGCCCATTATTTCAGAAATCTTACTGCCAGTGTGTTACAAACAGATCTCAGCTACTAGTGGAAGTGTTACAGGCCCAGTGTTCCACCATAAGCCCCTTCTGCATCCAGAACTCGGCGCCCTAAACCCTTAACGCTTAAACTCCTAACCCTTTTACACCTGGGCTATGACTCTTTCTTTACACAGGCTTGATTGAAGCTCGCCCGGCCAGGTCATAGAACCCTTTTTGCTGCAGGCTTGCAAGCAAGAACGCCTGGTAGTTAGCCACTCGTCCGCCGACTAACACTGTACTCGTGACAGCTCTATGACCCTAAACCCTAAACCCCTAGCCCCTAGACCGTAAACTCCTAGAACTTCAACCCCATAAGCCAAGCCCCTGAAGCCCTTCACCTTGAATTGAACCCAAAACCTTGAAACCCCAAAGCGCCTAAACTCCCCTGAAACCCTAGAACGCCGCAAAACCCTCAAAACCGAAAACTGACGAAAGCCCCTCCAAAGCCGACCTTAATCTCACAGACATCTCCTGGTACCATCTCGGCCGCCTCTGACGGTTTAGGGCTTTTTGGGTTTAGAGGGTTTACGCTCTCACAACTCGGACAAGCCAGGCGAGGATCCAAGGGTTTAGGGTTTAGGGTTTGGGCTTTTTGGGTTGAGGGTCTCAGTTCAGGGCTTAGGGTTTTACACTGTAGCTTTGAGAGTTTATCACCGAAACACTGTTCGTTTTGGCTCCGAAGCTTCGTGTCAGAAACGTATTTCTTGTTGCCTTCATGCCAGTTGAAAGCTTAGACCTCAGATGCTATGCACATGGTGTATCATCTGAATGACATGATCTCTTACATACTATGACCTTAGCTTTCCCTTTAAACATGGGCTGGGCTGGGCTGGGCTGGGCTGGGCTGGGCTGGGCTGGGCTGGGCTGGGCTGGGTCTGGGCTGACGAGTCTACATGAGCTGAGCCTCGGAGCTTGTCTAGAGCTGAAACCTGGAGGCCTCACAGCCTGTAGGGTTTAGGGTTTAGGGTTTAGGGTTTAGTAAAAAGAGACGACTGCAGCCTCGCAGCTTGTGGGCCCACTATAGCGGTTTGGGTGCTGAAGTTTAGGGGTTTAGGGCTTAGGGATGTTTAGGGTTTAGGGGTTTTGTCCGACAAGTTTCGGCCGGTTTGTTCCTTTGCAGCTCCACAATGGAAGACTGGCTGGGCTGGTGTTGTCGTTGTCTTCTAGCTGCCGGGCTGGAAAACAAGCTGTACAGGGTGAGTTTCCTGAGTTTCGACCGAAACCTTTTGGTCAAGTTTTTAAAACGAAAAATTGACAAAATTAGGCCGGGGGCCTGTGGCCGAACCCGGGCGGGCTGGTTGGGGCTCGGGGTTGGAGCGACCTGGACGTGACAAGGTCGTAGGAACTGGTCGTGGAAAGACACAACCTCTATTTATTTTCGTTTTGAGGGTTTCGACTTGGTACACTTCTCGATTTGTGCGAGGGTTTAGGGTTTAGGGTTTTGACGGCTTTACGCTCTCACAACTCGGACAAGCCAGGCGAGGTTCCATAGTCGCAGGTAGGCGTGGTACAGTTCATTCACTCGCATCCTTGCCCGCTACGGCTGTAGGGTTTCGTCGCTCAGACAGTTGAGGGTCTAGGGAAGCAGAACGAGTGTCTTCTTGTTTGTTGGAGAAGGAGCGTGTAATGGTGGGTAAGGGTGGTGATTTATGTTTGGGAGCCAAGGGCCCAAAGCTTACAGCTTCGGGCTACCATCAACGCGACCATCTTTAGGGTTTAGGGTTTAGGGTTTAGGGTCTTCATCATCGTCACGATCATGATGTTGTTCGCTCTCATCAAAGCACAGGAAACCCCGTGGTCGCCATCCTCATCGCCGGCATCACAACACTCTTCTCTAACCCTGAACCCTGAACCCTAAACCCTAAACCCAACCCTAAACCCTAAACCCTAAACCCTAAACCCTAAACCCTAAACTCTGCTGGGGCTCCTCTACCCGACTCCAGCGACCACCACGTAGAACCGTTGCAGAGTCCGACTGAAGCCTTGGCAAAAGGATTGGGTCGATTTTTACTTAGAACCTGAGTACCCTAGCCCAAAAAAGGTTAACCTTTTGAATCAAGTAGGGTTATATAAGCCCCAAAAGGTTAAACCTAGCCCAAAAAAGGTTAACATTTTCAATCAAGTAGGGTGATATAAGCCCCAAAAGGCTAAAGGTTACCTACTCAACCCCTAAGTTTATGAAGCACAAGGGTCTTTACCTTCAGGTCGCTTTGGGTCACAGGTTTCCATCTTTCGCGGTACCAGGCCCAAGCTCAACCCGCAAAACCCTGTAGTATGTCCCAAAAGACCATGCTGATGGTGGCTTTAGGCGCGGGCTGTAGGGGGGCTGAAGGCATTTTTGCCTGGGAATTGGCTGAACTGGCTGAGGCCTTGCCACAAGTATCATTCATCGTGACACAGACGCCTTACATGAACGGTCTGTGGCGTGAGGCTTGCAGGCTGCTATATCTTGCTACACCCCTTTTGAACAAGGAGCTCGGTGGATAAATCGAAGTGTACACCCCTACTGTAAAGCCTAAACCTTAAACCCCTTTTTTGAACCCAGACTCTGCTGATCAGCTGGGAAGCAGTACTGCTTAAACCCCTAAACCCTAAACCCCTGATGACACCTTCGGACTACTCTAAGATATCATTACAAATAATGGTAGCATTAGCATTGTTACTGTAAATCACTAACTTCCATGTGAAAACTGTTCTTGTCGTGAAAACTACTGTATACGACTGTGTCACTATCTGGCTGTTGTTGCTACAGCCATGCTGTTGATAGCTCTCACAAAGCACATGGCTGGCACCGACATGTGGAATTTCGCTCGCGTTGCTGCAAAGAAGAGGTTTGTGAGTCTCGGGGCCAACAAAAAACCCCATAAGGACCGCTCATCGGTGGGCAGTAGTGAACCGGAAGAACATGGAAGATTCCCAAACGTGAGCTTTGAAGACGACAAGAGCTGAATCATGGAAAGGAGCATGCTCAGGAACTGCCCACCTAGACGCGGACGAAGCATAGATTTCGCGCAGTTCGAGAGTCCTCATTAAGAGGGCCTCGAAAGAAAATAAAATGGTCGAGGTAAACGTTCGACGAAATTGCATCGTCCACCTTTCGACGGTGGCGATGGGACGATCCGGAGACGACGTGGTCAGAATTTTGGAAGGATGTACGGCAAATAGTCCAGAAGCCGTCACGACTGCTAGGCTCTGACTTGCTTGACTGTACAGGCTGTGCACCGGGATCATTCCCCCTTGCAGGGGCCCCTGGATAGATGCTCGAGAACATGAAGCAAACATTGGAAACTAGACATCGCTCTCTGGAGATGCCAGCTCAGAGCTGTTGGCAGTGGCTGCCTCACTTAGCTGTGGGTTGGCTCTGATCTGGCCGTCCACAATCTTCTCCTGAAGGGATGCGGCACGCAGCACCGTCTGACGACATGGAATTGCTTCGGGGAGGCTTTGGGGACGAGAGTTGCGTTATGCACGGGCTCCTCACCAACTGCCGCACAAGGCCTGCCGATGACGGGTTCCGCACCACTGACTGCCGGAGGAGGAAGGTGGAGACTATTCCCTTTGGCACGAAATTGCCGGCACACGAGGACGCACAGAACTGAGCTGGCCCCCATCAAGACAGCCCCCACGAGGAGGACCCAAAACCCTGCATCGTCACTGGCAGCAGCGAACCAAGACACATTCGCGACGGGGCAGCTGCTGGAGTCGAAATTGGAGTTCGCCGCGAACATGTTCAATGCGCCCTTCGTCGCCTCCAATCTCAGCACCATGGGTGCCTGCTCCACTTCGCCACATGTCAAGAGTGCGAAGTGCCAGTCGCGAGGGGCACTGGTCCTCGGAGGGGTGCTTCCGGCCCCTTATCGCTCTACCATCTTGCCACAAAGGGTGCCTGTGACGATTAGAGTGGATAACCGCTGGCTGCCACAAGTAAGCAGCAGAAGCCTACAAAACACAAATTAGACAAGGAAAGCACACTCACTACCACACCTCCTACCACTCACACAAGACATCCCAAGACTATGTGGGCACCAAGCCCTGCATCCGAAAGTCTGGTGCACCTTGATGCGGAAGTTGAACTTGACCTGGGTCTTGTTGAGCAAGCGCACCATGTTGGCAGAGTCAATCTTGTCCTCGCAGGCCTCTTTCCTTCATCTGCAGGGCCCCTCTGCTTGCCCATCTCGTGATTCGGGCTGGGCTGAGCAGTGGGTTCACAGCTTAAAAAGCGAGGCAAGTGATCGGGGAAAGCGGCAAGGAAGCCGCTTCATGCATCAAAAGTAGTGCATCCCCTGTGCTAGCTGCGAATTTATGTAGCCGAGCTTCCCCCAAGTGTCCCGCACGGCACCCCAACGATGCTCTCGCGCATCGAAAGCCACGAGCTTCACCGGCCCCATCTCATTCAAACCTCGCTGGCCTTCCTTGGCCGGAGCTGTGCTGCTTGCAGTTCCGTGCCGAGGGAGAGCAGGGTTTCCGATCTAGTCTGTGTTGTAAAACACGGCGGTCTGAATTCAAATGCAGCTATAGTTTAACCCCTTAGCACCTGAACCCTACATCCCTAGCCACCGAAACCTTCAATACCGTACACAAGCCAAATCAACCCTAAAGGCCCTGAGCCCCCCCCCCCCCCC